ATCCAGATCTAATGACAAAATTAATTTTTGCTTCTCTTTCTTTTTACTGCTTTTTAACAATGATATTCTTACTGGTACTAACTAGTAGATTCTTTCACATGGTGACTATGTGACCTTTTCCTCTATAGCGACAGCACAAGTTGGTGGCGGTGTCTGGATCCAGCACAGCAGTAGAGTTTTAGGTTATAGAAGCTCTACTATTCCATTCTCACTTGTTAGCCACAATAATTTCACAAGACAATCTTTCTTCCTCATCTATCAACTCATCATTTTTTATCTTTTTTTTAGATAGTACGAAAATAAATAAAGAATGAATAGAAAAGCTTACATCTACTAGTGGTGAAGTTCGTGCAAGGAAGGTAGGGTTAACACTTCATTCACATACAAGCTTTCACACTGTGAGCTGGAAAACCATTCTTTAAAGCGTTCTTTAAAGGGAACAGTTTAAAACAACGTTCTTCATTCGTGGACTTAAACAATTGACACCATGTAGCTTGTGATTCAAGTGAATCTCAGAGTATTCTGCAGCAGGAACGTGGAATGTTTCCAAGTGTGTACCTGAGTACCTTGGTCAAGCTGTCTTTCTAGAAGCTGTCTGTCAAGCTCTCATATCAGGCATATCAAGATCTTGAAGACAATTTAGTAATGCTCTGACTCTGAGGAGTCTTAGTGAGACGTGACCTTCTATGGTGACAGTATCAGCACTCAGACTGCTTGTTAAAGATTGCTGACTTTTTGGGAAAAATTTTCACTATATTCAAATTAAATACAAAGTGTTTGGTCATTATGACTAATATAAATATTTTATAAGCTGTTTGAAATCTTGTCATATCTGGGGATAAGTTTTTTTGAACAGGTTTGTCTAATGACTTTATCTCATTTTTTCCCTCTCTGAACCTCAGTATTTGTTAGCATCAGGAACACTGGGACAGGATTATTGAATATATATTTATATACATTATCCCATGATATATGATCAAAACTGTTAAGATAGTAATATCAATAATATCAATATCATCAGCCAAAATATAACTTCTGAAGAAAGGGTTTTTTTTTTTTTTTTTTTTGGTTTTTCGAGACAGGGTTTCTCTGTATAGCCCTGGCTGTCCTGGAACTCACTCTCCTAGACCAGGCTGGCCTTGAACTCAGAAATCCGCCTGCCTCTGCCTTCCAAGTGCTGGGATTAAAGGCGTGGGCCACCACCGCCCGGCGTGAAGAAAGTTTTAACATTTATTTTATTTCATTATTTTTCTTGGTGCTTGATACCTAACCCAGAACTGTGTGCATCAAAATGTGGACTCTTACTACTGATAGGCGTTTCCCATAACCCTTTTCCCAGAAGTTTGTGGTTAAATTATTTCTTTCTGTTCCTCAGTGAAAATCTCTTTTGTATAGTAACTGTATTATCAACTGAAATCTATAATTTCATTTATATCAGTTCGTGACCTAGCTATAAGATCTGGCAGTATTTTAAGTTGCATATTACATGAATATTTTAAATTTTTAGATAGCAGAATTTAATGATTTAATTTTATACTTCTTACCCTTTTTATGTTTCCTTCTATATGAATGCTGTCAAATCTTTTATTTTTTAATTAATTAAACAATGCTTTCTGAGTATGAGTGTTTCCCTTGCAAATATGCCTATGTATCATATGTATGCCTGGAGCCTATAAAGTGTTGAAGAAGACATCAGAACTGCTAGGACTGACTGGAGTTACAGATGGCTGTGAGCTGCTATGTGGGTGCTCAGAATCAAACCCAGGTCTTCTACAAGAGCAGCAAGTCTCCTTAACCACTGAGCCATCTTTCCAGTCCCCAATTAACTTATTTTTTATTATATAATTTTTATTCATCCATTTCTTTTTCTTTGTTCTTCTAAATTGTCTTACCTCTAATCATATCCCTTAAATACAAAATGGGATTGATTGGATTTTTCCTTTATCAGTCAATCTGAGAAGACATAATTTATGACTTATTTTCAGTTTTGGAGACTGGTACAGGGTCTCACATGCCAGGTACTTTACTCTGCCTTACGTCATATCGTAACCTCCTGAAAGTGCTCAGATCTTAATAGACAAGTTATTGGTATTTACATTTCTGACTGAAATTGATTTTAATAATATTTTAGCTGCTGTGGTTTTGAATTTTTACATTAATGCATGCCTCCATTGTGTTTTCTTTTTATCTCTATGTTCATAGGAATGTTATCAATGTTCTTTTCATGGTGCGTTTTGTACTAATGTGTTGAGGTTTGGTCTTTTACTGTGTATTTTAATGCTAAGTTTGGGCTCCTAAGACCTGGTTGTCCCAGAGACTGCATGTAGCCTCAAGTGAGCTGTATGACCTTACCTTCAAGTTATTTCTGATGGGTGAATAAAGATTCTGACAACCAATAGGTAGACAAAAGAGGCATAAGGAGGTTTTAGGGTTCCTGAGCCTGAGAGGGTCAGAGGAGAACCATGAGGAGAGAAGAAGGTGAGAAGGAAGGAGAGGCCCCATAGGTTAGGTGAGTTCATGAAAATGTGGCCCTGAGGGCTGTCCAATTGGAGTTAAGAGCAACCCAGCTGAGACAGTTTTAGTAAATAATAACTCGGGTTTACCTATAGAAAAGCAGATTCTAACAGCATAGAGGTTAGATATCTGCCCAGCTCTTGTGCTGTTCAGGGCTTTTTGTAAGTATAAAGGTTGTATACATCTTTTGACTTGGGACTAAATGGTTAAAGGAGGGTTAGAAAGCTCAGTTTGAGCTAAAAATTTTTGACAACACTAATGTTTTTATATAACTTCAAGTTTCTCTCTTTTATGCTATTATCTATTATTCTTTAAGACAAACGATATTACACTTAATATTTAATTTTCTTGCCTTTTTACTTTTCAAATTAACAAGAATCTAGTTGCAAAATACTTTTATTCCCACTTAACAACCATAAAATAATAAAATTTTATTAAGAATTTTATCTGCTATTATCATTACCCCTGAATGTTTGCAAATTATACTTACAAATAATGTCAAGTCATAAACTATAATACAACTCTGTCTTCCTTAAAATAACCATTTAACTTAATGATGTAACTAATTCTTATGATAATGTCTCTCTTGTTGCTTTGGTCATCTAAAATTGAAAACTTTTCTTCCTAAGAGAAGTTCTTTTGACATGAAGTAAATACTCATAAATAGCATCAGGAAGTCCCTGAAACCAACCAAATTTACTAGGCCTTTTTCTTTCCCAAGAGTATATAAATAGTGAAGACATACTGATACACAAGTGGCTTAGATGACTCACAAACCAACCAAGCAGAGACAAGCTAAGCTGCCTTGAAGAAGCTCAGAACAACCGAGGAACCTGAAATGGACAAGTTCCTATCTGTTGAGCTTCTTGTAGGCTATGCAGTGTGTTTCAAGTTCCCAGATTGTGTATTCTGTAACCCATGCTGGGGTGGGCTTCGGTGATGCAGCTGTCTTTGAGTCATCTTCTGTCTTTCTGCTCCTGTATGTAACCCTTCACCCACATTTCTATAAGTAACCCCAATAAACTCATCGGTTAATAAAATTGGCTTATGCTGATGTTTATACTTGAATGTATATACACACACATGAATGTATGTTCCTTCTTCTTCCCACTGGAAGGAGAATGACATTATACTTAGATTCTAAATGTAACTATATGTGTATTTCTCTGTTTTCGAGTATATAGATTTCAAAATAGGTAATACATTGGTTTTCAATTACAGTTTAAATGAACTTCAATCTCTAATGAATGGTCTCATTTCTAGTAAACCTTTGAGAATCTTTCAGAACTGGGAAACATTGCTTTCTGCATCTTTATTATCAACATAATCATGAAAGAAAGTTAGTCTTGAAACTGAGTAAACCAAAGGATTCTTGGCAGAAGATGATAGAAAAACATGGAGTGCTATTCCAGAAATCTTTCGCAGTATTTCTTGATCAGTTTATCTTCACTCTGTAAGCAATTGGTAATGTTTCATACAAGCATATTTATGTAGATGAACATCATCAAGGAACAGAAGAAGAGGATGGGTTTGTGATAAAATGGTGGGGATTGTAAAAAGAAAGAGATGAAGAAACACCAGGGCGGGGTGGGGGGACATCAATTTGAAAAACAAATAATTTAGGTTATAATCAGAGAGCTTTAGTGTGGAAAATACTTATGTAATATAAAAAAATTTGGGCTTAGAAGACAGTTAAAATGTGGAAGACCACTATAAGATATGGAACTCTTATTCCACTATAACATGCAATATGCAGAAAGAGGAACAGATGCTTAGGATAGAAAATGGATTATGTGTAAATTAGTAGTTTAACTTACTGACAGTAATACAGTGCTTCTTTAACCATTAATTAAGGGAGAATATCAAAGAATATATTCTAATTATATTGTAACTATTAGTAGCTTACAAAACACTTCAGTTTGACTATGTTATCTGATTTTATATTGGTAAGTACTTATATTCATTTTAGGGAGAAGTAATCCAAAGATTGTGGAGGATTTTGTGTGAAACACATGACCAGAAAAGAAAAGAAATTTGATTTAAACGTGAGTGTTTCAAAATAAATTCTGAGCATCCTTTTCTACTTCTTGCTGTAGGAGATGAATTAATTCATATTATTTTATGAATCTCTGTGTTAAGAATAAACTGAAAACATTGCTCTGCCTATGCCTTTGAAATATCAATCTCAAGTGACTGAGTACCCACTACATAAACATTGCCTTTACCTGCCACAAGCAATAATATCTTAAAGTAACTATTATTTTTTTAAACTACATGGAAGAAGGTCTTCCTTCAGAAGCACACTAAGATATTCACATACTACCATAGTCCTGCTGCTTCCAAATCATCATTTGATCCACAAATTGGCCAGAACACACAGTTTCTGTTCACATCAAACTTTCTCATGATGTTTTAACTGTGTGATCCTGTTGCAGAATCTAGAATGGAAGAGCCACAGAATGGGGTGATTTTTCTTGTCCACCTACCTTTGTTTCCCTCTATGCTCTACAGACCCAGCTGAGAGTCTGTCAAGGGGAGACCCAAAGCCAGAGAAGCTTCTTTTTTTCTTGGTCTCAAATACATCATTCTCCAAGGATACCAGATCATCAAGAAGCAGGAGCTTAGCTGCGAGCTCAGTGGCTGACTTCTCTTCTCTGGCTGTGGGTGGCGACTGCAAGCTTGCTGTTCCAGTCTCCTACAGGGCAGATAAAGGTGTTCTCATTAACTTAGATCATGAGATATAAGTATGTACAAAATTAGCAATAACTATTTTCTACCACTAAATAACATGCCTGTTGATCATTGTGTTATCTCTCAGGGTTATGATTTAGAAAGAAAACTAGACTTTTTGGGACGAAAATATACTGAGGCAGAATACCCCTAGAAGAAAATAACAACCCGTATCCCACAGTGTGTTTCTAAAATTTAGCATATTTACTGATTAGTCTTCCAGATTCAGCCCCAGAACAGCTGCATCCTTCCTTATCTACCATAGGACCACCCCATATCTCTGTCATCATACACTACAATTTACTTTAAACATTATCTGTTACAACAAATTTCTATTTATTAAAGTACAAGTAACATGAGCTCTGATTAAGCTTTTATTTCTTTTATGCAATGTCTATTCCAACATTTTTCTCATAACAAAAATCAGATTTTTTTTCTGTCATTCTATTTTACTTCCAGGTCATCAGTATTCCACTGTGTTCCACAATCTGCATTAGAGTTAAGGTATGTGAAAAAAAGAACAAAATCCTGTTTCTTTGCCCCAGGAGACTAATATTTCAGTTCATGTGACTTATTAACAAAGTAAAATCAATGTGTAGACCTACCCCAAGAATAGTACTATTTTAGTCAAATTTTACTTGTTTATCTGCTATGTATGGTTTCTCTTTGTACTTTTATGCCATGCATAAAAGAATGAGAGTGTTCAGTGTGAAAAGTTTCTTTTTCCTTCTGAAGCCAGGAACAGAGTTTTAGAAACTGCTGTTGTTACAAACCCCAGGCCTTCAATAGTCATGGAATATAGCTTCTGTTCTAGGTGCCTGAGACTACTCTCTAGGAGGAGATTTGGCTCCAGTATTTCTTCCTTTCTCCCTTTAGTCACATGCTTCCTTGTACCACAAGGAGAATCACAACAAAGATTTGAGGAGGAAGGGTGCTAAATCTCAGTAAAGACTCCCCAAGGAGGGGGAGAAATAACTTCGAAGGCAATAATTTTTTATTATTGACCAAAGTGAGGCAGACTGGGGAGTCCTATATCTCTACTGGGTTCTAATCAGGTGTTAAGCATCACTAAAGTGCTGCTAAAATTAATTTTAATATGTTCTTATTGTATGCAGATTCTCTCTTTCATGTTTATTTCCCTTTGAGTTAGTCAAGATAATAGTGTGACAGAATGACTCAACTTCTTAAATGACAGTTGATAAACTTTGCCTTGGTGGCCTTGAGCAACCCTTATGCTAAGTACCCATCACATACATATCTCCCTTACCTGCTACAAACCATAATGACTTAACCACTTAATCATTTCAGATACTACCAAAGTGGCTGGAGGAAACTATATGACAGTGGGAACTGCTGGCTGCTGAGTCAAGATTCTGGCTCCTAAAGATATGGTATCACTCATGACTATTTTAAATCAGCTGGGCTGGGTTTCCCCTGCAATTATTCCCAATAAGGCCAGAGGAGTGGCCTAGTAAGACCATTGTGTTTGGTATAACACCAGTAATGCCATGATTGTTGTAAGCACTTGTCTTCATTTGGATGAAGGTTTTCTGTAACAGTCTATATTACTGGCTGTGCAAGCTATTGAGCTCATCCTCCTAAGCTGAATGATAGAAATCCTTTTCTGCTCATGCAATGTTAGGTCCAATGCAAAGCTTCTTCCCTGTCAGTGGCTTTTTCTGCCTGCTTTATTGTTGTAGGGGCAAGGCAGAGCTTCAGAATCAGTTGTTGAGATTTTAACAACAAAGGCAGGAGCTGGCAGCAGAGGGGTAGCAGGCACCAGGGTAGCAGAGCTACTGACCAATGGCAGCTGCAACAACCACAGCAGAAATTGATAGCTGGAAAGTGTCACCAGAGAGCCTCCAAGGCAGACACAAAATAAATGGAGGAACACAAGAGAAAGTGTGAACGATCAGGGACCTGAGTCTGAAATACAGATGATTCTGAACAACCAGAAAAGTAAAAACATAGTTTTGGAATTATGCTAGAGACATTGGCAGGCCTTGCAAACCTACTCTCTGCTGTTAAGGGCTAGGGAATCTGAGCATCCTAGGGCTATGACAGGGGTGTACCAGTTGCCACTTTAGGAAAAATATCCTACCCCTGTGGCCTGCAAGAATGTTGGAACATTAGTCAGACAGCAGTATATTGCTGCATTACTCTTGACTATTGTATGAAGCCAACGGTCACAGTCTACCAAACCCTGAAAAAGCAACTCCTTGTGAGAACAAAAGACCACAGTCAAAATAATGGGAACTAAAACATCTGGAAAGTGTTTTTATTCTTCCAACTAGTACAATATAAAAACCATAATTTTGTGTCCTATTGTAATAAAAGGTTTGGCCAAGACTATGTAATATTCAATATGCAACCAACTTTACATTTTATATAATAACATCTCCTATTGATGCAATGATGAAATTAAAATGTTTGTAGTGAAAATAAATTAACTTTTATATATATTTTTTTGCTTGAGGAATACTAATCTTATTAACTTTTAAAAATATCTGAAGTCACTTGCTCTGAATTCTCTTAGCTCGGTAGTTATTCATTTATATATTTGAAGTTTGTGACTTTGAATGTCATTGGCAATAAGAATAAGTAACAGAAAAAAATGTCTGTCTTCCTGATTTTGTGTTCTGAAGATGTTTTTCAGTTGTATCTTCTGATTGTAGTAGAAAAAGCTTATATTTCTTAAAGTATAATCGTGGTCTCTCTGTGTGTGGGGAGGGGGAGAGAAAGAGGTCAGAGGATAACATCAAGTATTTTACTTTATTTTATTTTTTTAAGATAGAGACGCTTGCTGAATCTGGAGCTCACTGACAAGGATGGACTGGCTAGCTAAAAAACACCAGAAGTTCTATCTTCATATCTCCAGGACTGGAATCATGGGTGCCTGCTGCTGTAGCCAGCTTGCCTATGAATGCTGGGGATCTGCATTCATGTTCTCATGCATACTAGCATTCTAATGGCTGTGTCATCTCCTATGCCCTTTCATGTGACATCCTAAGCTGATTTCCATTACCTCTGATGCTAAGTCCATGGAGGATACCTTTCCTGAGCCCCATAGCATCACAAGCACAGCCAGAATGAAGTGGGCACTCACCAATCTCCAGTCCAGCATCTAGGATCAGATACATAAGACTTGATATTAATTAGTTTGAAATATAAATCCATAGAACAGAAACAATGAAAAGTTTCTTAGAAGTAAAGCCATTCACTTCTATGAGCTGTAGTCCATATCAACCAACCTAAATAATGCCTAATAAAATCTGTCAACCTCCTGTAACAAAAAATATATAGGATTTATTCCCAAGATAACATACATTTTATTTATATAACTATAGCAATTTAGTTAAAGCTAGCCAAATATCTGAGAAATCAACATGATATAATTTTATTACTAAGGTAGTGGAGAGACTACAACTTCGTTTTGACAAAAATGTGAGAGAATAAAGCATTGGGCCTCTCTTTGAAACAGGATCATGGTACAGCAAAAGCATCTAGATTAAAAATTCTGAAAACACTACACATTCAATAAGAGAATATCTTAATATTCTTATGTTGGGTCAAGATTCCTTAAACAAGAATTAAAAAGTGAATATGTTATTTTAAAAGTGTCAAAATTTAATATTTTAAAATTAGAAAATTATGAAGGTTGAGAGTCAACAAAATGAGAATAACAAAATTAAGAGGCTTATAGATGACATTTCCAACATACATAAATAAGAAAAAATATACTAGGACACATAATCAATGCTGATTAGTAAAGTATAAAAACATGAGAATCAAATAAACAAAAAATAGGTCCAGGTTATTGTAAACAGATATTTCATAGAAAAGAGAGAAGACAATGGTGTACCTCACAGCACAAATGCCATTGCATTGTATACACATCACATTAAAACTTCTTCACTGCAAGTGTTAGAGTAGTATTTGGGAAAAATACGACAAAAATTCTTGGTGAACTTGGAACTGAATGCTGTTGTTTGAGGGAAATTGGGCAATACAAAGAGGTTGAAAACAGTCCTGTTTCAACAATTGTACCCTTATTTAACTTCTGGTATTATATCCCTGAGAAATGTCCACATGCTTGTGAGGATATAGATGCTGGAATGTTCATAATCTCACTACTTTTAGTAATATAAATAAAAGTCATTTGAGGTGCTCTAATTAAAGAGAGGATGACTTGGATTGAATGGAGCCATTCAAATTAAAGGCTTAAATTATATTACTCAAATGGATATTTAGTATTAAAACATATGAATTAAATATTTATCTGGCAATGTGGATTTCAAAGTTCTTTTGGGTAAATATAAAAATGTTAAATATATACATGACATAAAACAATGCACATAATAAGGCTATTATACAAATTCCTATGTAAATATTCAAAACATTTCCATACATTGTGTTCTATCTATCTATCTATCTATCTATCTATCTATCTATCTATCTGCTATCTTTCCACATATTCACATATTTTTCAATTTCCTATCTCATAAATCATCTATTTTGATCCTCTCTCTCTCTCTCTCTCTCTCTCTCTCTCTCTGTGTGTGTGTGTGTGTGTGTGTTTGTGTGGTGTGTGTGTGTGTGTGTGTGTATCACAACAGAACTTGATTCTTGATTATGGTTGCCTCTGAGGAAAGAAGAAAGAGGAAGGATTAACATAAGTAATATTTTGAAGAAATATAAGGAAGTTAATTTTATAATGTAAATACACACAAGTATACTACCTTTGTTAACGCTGGGTAGGAAGTGTGAACACATTTATGAATTTCAGAGTTTTTAGATTAAAACACTATGCTGCTAATTACAACTCATCACTGGTTCCATTAGATTTGTTGCTTGGAGGTTTGGTATGACCATCTTAAAATACTACATAGTAAAGGATGAGGCATTGCTCACTGAAGTAATAGAAGACCACAGACTTGGATGTTAATCTCCTCATAAACTATCTCTTAGAACACTTTCTAGGACAAAGAGACTGGATTTTTGAAGAATAGGTTTTGAATCTCATTTTGCTTTAAATTGCTGTGATTTTGGACATGGATTATTTAACTCACCTGAGCTTTAGTTTTCTAATATATGATGTGAGAAATAATTCATAATTCAAAAATTTCAAGGAGGATGGAACTGATTGACTCATAAGGCCTTTCTTTCATATGCTCTCTATTATTTGCATATGAAGAAACATCTACGTGCCATTACACAACATTGTTTTAGCAACTGCATATGTGTTGATGTGTTCCCTGACTTTAGACTTCCTTACTATTGTTTTGAAACTTGACAGGAGATCTTAGTAATTTGTGTCATATGCAATTACATGAATAATTATTTTGTAGGCAGAATAATATCTCTATAATGTGTTCTTTAAGGGTTAAAATGGTGCCGGGCGGTGGTGGCGCACGCCTTTAATCCCAGCACTTGGGAGGCAGAGGTAGGTGGATTTCTTTTGAGTTCGAGAGTTCGAGGCTAGCCTGGTCTACAGAGTGAGTTCCAGGACAGCCAGGGCAACACAGAGAAACCCTGTCTCGAAAAACTAAAACAAAACAAAACAACAAAACAAAACAAAACAAAACAAAACAAAGAGTTAAAATGAATAAAAAGATCTTCACCATGTCTCCAATGTGTGTTTTATGAAATGCAATAATAATTTAGCTTAAACTACTTGTTTATTATGACATCAATTATTCTCTTTTGGAAACTTGTGGCCAATTCCAGTCACTAACCTCTTGTCTGTATTCTGTCATTTTATGAAAAGAAAAAGCAAAATGTGTGTTTTCTGTTAGCTAAGTTGGTATTTAGTTGATATATTCAGTGATTATTTGGAAATGATAAATGAGATTATATCTCCAATTAAAGAAAACAAAAATCTTCAGAGAGCACAGCAGTAATCATTTGATTAAAATACATTTAATTAAAATTTCAACAAAAAGCATTAATTTTTCCTTCAGAAAACTAGCCACTTCTTTGTTTATAATTGTGGAGAATCATACATTATTATTTGTGTTTTCTCCACATTTTACTTATGTTTATTTTACTTTCATGTATACAAAGAGAGACACTTAAAAAATATAGCTGTATTTAAAAATAATCCCAGATTTCTTATAAACCTATTTTTAAAAGTAACACTCCCATTTAATCAAAGTAAATTACAATCCTGATGTTTAGTTTTTATTATTCTAAAAATAGTTGTTAAAGTGTCAAATTGACCTGTTTTACAAGTCTTTCCATGTGGATTTTCTTTACCTATTTTTACAAATATTTTACCAACCAAAGTTCCCTTCACGCCCGCAGGCCTTTAAATGTAACAGAATGATTGTGTTTTCAATATTGATGATTGCATCTGACACATGTGTTTTGGAGCTGGGGTGTATATAGAAAAACAGTTTTAATATACCCTCTAACAGATAGCCACATCCTGATCATTTGGATAGGAAGGTGTAAAAATAAACGCTGAGTTTAAATACATGTATTTAATGTTTTAAAGTCATGCTTGTACCCAGTAAACCAACAGACTGAGTTCCTAAATATGGCTTTGTCCACTAACATAAACAAGCACTCTGGCACCTGCCGAACAAGAGACATTTGATTAACTCATTCAAACTTGATTGCTACAAAATTAGAAACAGAGGAAATTATAGGGAGGAAAGAAAATGACTGGGTTTAGCTTCATTTCTCTATTTTGTTGATAGTGAATAAATATAGCCTATGATTTAAAACTTTCCTAGGACCAATGTGTTCTCCAAATCACAGAAGGAACTTTCAATGAATATTCTTTGACTGTATGAATTCACCAAAGTAGTAGTGTTTACACATTAAAAAAACAAAAACAACTAACACATTAACAGTTTTCTTTCTTTTCTTATAAGGCATGTAGCCCAGGGTAAACCCGAATTCATAATTATTCTGTATTAGTTTCCCAAATGCCAGGGTTGTGGTTGTATACCATGCATTTGAACAGAGTAGCTTTTTTGAGGTATATTTCTTGAAGTAATAAAGAATTCCAAAACAAACAGAGGGCATAGAATATACCTTTTAAGATTTTGTAGGTGTTTCATTTGTAAGTGATTGGGACATTACATTTTATATAGTACATTTTAGTATCCCTAGATACTCTTTGTTACAATAAAATATACATTATCTATTAAACACTGCGTTATATTTTATGTTATGCATTACAATTGGACTGTTTAATACATCTTGGTAAATATTTTACTTTGTGAAATATTTGAAGCTGTGATTTAGACATTCCACATGTGAAAATTTCTTATATCTGGAAAGGATTGTCCAGCCCAAGGTTGCAGTAGTGGAGCATAGACCAATGTGGAGAGATACAAAGTGTTGTCATCTACACTGGAGAAACAAAATATATTTATGTTTATAAGCATAATGAACTGTGGAAGTTCAGTAGTGCAGAACTTGCCTTAATTTTGTTTTTTTAACCTGAAAATAGAGAATTGAGTGTGAACAAAGGTGTTTCAAGTTTATGAGTCAGTGAACAAAGGAATTAGAACATTGGTGGGCAGCAGGAGCAGAACAGAGTCCCAGAAATGGTAAGTCCCTCATCTTCAGGTTACAATGGGTTGTCGTAATGAATGAAATCTTCTGTAACATAGACAGGCAAGAGTGGAAGCCAACAGAGATGATGCCTGATCAGACGTACTTTCGAACTAATACGATTCTTAAAACATTTCTTTGAAGGCTAGTGATGCAGTAAATTCCTCAGGTCATTAAAGTTCTTTTTAGTTTGAAACTTTATGGGAATCACCTAACTTTAAGGATAGTTGACCTAACCGTCAGAAATTCGCAGTGGTACTATTTTTGTGGGTACATTTTAGTAGGATCTGGACATTTTTTAATTTTCTCTAATACGTAGATTGGAAACATTTAACCCATCTCCACCAACCATGGTTTTCAACAGAAAAAAAATTAAATATTGAATAGAATCAATTAAAGATATAGGATTTATTAACTAATTAAATTTGCACCATTTCTCAGCCTCTTCCAACTGTAACAGAGGACAAAGCCTAAACTAGGCTTAACATTTTGCCAATAAGCACTAGCCCTGACTATGTAATGGCCAGTTGTCCCTGCTGTGTTGACTGCCGTAGTATT